AGTGACCTAAATGAATAGGTACACCAGGACATAGCCAGAAAGGATGTGCCTAGTCCTTGGATTGAGAGAGGGTTGCCGACTTATCACTTATGCCCATGCCAGGTTCGATGTGACGCTGTGGTTTATGGTCTCTCGCCGCTGCTCAGACTACTGTTTGTTCTCTTATGCCGTGTCTTTTCCATTTGCTCGAAGACAAAGGGGTCTTATTCAGAGCATTCTCCATATTCCTCTGCATCTTTGTTAACTGTTAAGTTCCCTAGTACCTTTGTATTATTCGTATAGCTCACTACCCACGATTTCTCGTCACGGAGAGCGCCTTAAAAGGCAGGGGTTGACTGCTGGAGGCGGGCTGTTGTTGCCAGTGTCTTCAGGTGGCTGAGAGAGGGCCTCACAAAGCCTTTCCACCAATGAAGTTACCAACCGCTGACCCCGCGCAACGTGCCCACTGTCTTCGAGGTAAATGTACGCATTGATCAGGAGGCGGGGCGTCAGATCCGGCATCAATGGCGAGTGAGCTTAAGTAGCCAATTCTCCACTCAAGGGCATGGTCCAACTCTGGGAAGCCACCCTTTCCCTTTTTGCGCACCAACTGCCTTTTGAAAGGCAATTCATGCACGCACTAGTTGAGCGGCGCGCTTTTCGAGCGATAAACTTTGTGCAGCTCCTTCGGAAGCACTTAATACCGTATATGTTCCTTTCAGACCGAGATATTCTCAGCGCAAACAATACATTAGAAAATTATGCTTGCCAAAAGATAAATAAAGTCTATACCGTAACCTGCATATACAGTAATAGAGTAGCACATGAGAGGCTGAAGGCGCAGGAAAATAAAGCTTAACAAATCTGGAAGCCTTAAAGCAAGGCAAGCATTATTGTACAGTGAAGCGGAGGTATGGCTATCAAACATGATATGATCAACCTAATTACATGTAACTTGTAAGTATAACTTGAAGTACTTGTGAGGAACACAATCTAACCTTCCCGATCCATCAAAACGGGATCACTTTTAGGTAGAACTGCTAGCATTCTGGACGAATCTCCTCATTCGACGAATATATGAACGTCTTCCCGGTATCAACGTCGACTACTCGTATTGGAATATTACAGACAGCCTCGTTTCTCCTTAAAAATGGGTAGTGATTGTAAACTCGATCAATAGTTCCAGCATACCTCACCTTTACGGGGCTTCTTGAAGAGTAATGTCATCAGTCTAACTACAGTCATGACTCCTGTTAGCGATAGAGCGTGTGAGTGGGCTTGGATTAGATCGCTGCCAGGGCGGCCTTTCCCACCAATAATCATGGTGAGTCCGCAACGATCGGCGGAAAGGCTTCCAACTTCTATCACGCCCCTTCACACACCCTATCATTTGCGGAGTAATGATCATAAACTATGTTGACCTAGCTGGTACGTGGTGATATCTCCGTATTTATCATATATTATCTAATTGGTGCTAGAATGTTTTGG